CGATCATTTCTTTCTCAATTTGTTCTTCCGTCGCTTCTTTTGGTAGATTCAGTCGAACAACAATGTTCCTATTGTGCAAGAAGTGGATCAACGAATCAATAATAGTGTACCACGTCTTTTTCATCCAAGACCACGCCTTCTCGACAAACCCTCTGGTGTCTGTTTTTAAAGGTAACGACTGTGCTTCTTCAGCAATTTCAGCGTCGTTGTAATCGCTCAATCGATCTTTCTTTCTCAACACACGCAACTCTTCGAGTCTTCTCATTCGCATCACTTTGTTATTATACTCAATATCGAGCTCAAGCAAAATCTTATCTCTGTCTAAGTCAATCAACTCTTTTGTTTTAGCAAAGACTTTTTCCTTTTCGATCTCTTCCGTTTCGTCAATTTTGATTAACGCTCGACTGAGGTGTTTAATAAGACACGTTCGGGCTAATAAGATAAAATAAATTGTTACATTAATATAAAACTCTTTTCCCGTTGTCAAGTTTAACCCAAACGTTCGGAGAACTTGGAGAGAAAAGTTAATCAGCTTTTTAATATGTTCGTTAGTAGAAGAATCTCTAACTCCTTGTAACAGGGCTGATGTAACTACTAAATTTTGTAAGACTAACACGAGTATATTAATTCCTTGAAGAATTCTCCACGCTCTCCACTGTTTTGTGTATCCACCTTTGAAGATTAGGTATATTGTGAATCCAAGGTAGATGTATGAGAATATATCCTTTCTGGTAATTGAAAGAAAGACAACAATTATACCACATAATAGCCCTATATACTTTAACACAAACTTTACTATAACATCAAAGAATGTCTGCACTCTTTCTGGGAAGTAATAAGGACATAAGAAGTCGTAAATATCATTTGCATGTCCGTCACTATATATATACGAAATACGATATATGAGGAAGATACATACCGAGTCCAAAACACGGGAAACCAACAACATCTCTCCATACCCGGATGGCGTTAACAATAAGTACTTTCTAATAGTAAAGTCGGTATCCCAGTCCCAATTTCTCCATCCAGTGATTCCCTCAAAAGGTCCACCAGAGAGTGGAATTGTCCATATTGAATTGAATATTAAAAGCGATACCAAAACAATTTCAGAGATTGGTATTAATGTTGCTAAGACAGTCTGATTTGCTACTACGCCAGTTAAAGCTATTGTTAAGTAAACAAGTCCAAGGAAGTCACTTCCGTGATATCCACAGCATATACAAATGAATATAAATGTGCACAATGGTCCAAAGACAGTGAAGAAATTGGAGATGTAGTACTTAACCTTGTTTAAAGAAATTTGTGCTGTGTCCTTTGATATCTCCGTGTAATTAAATAGCACAAGTGGTGCTGTTTTTTCGTAGTGAACACCCCAGAAGTATGATGTACTTGATAATATGACTAAAAATAGAATGATCACAAAGTCCTTTGTAATAGCCCAACTATTGGGATACGCATTATCATCTATCATAGAACATTGAATGTCGACATGTGTCGATGTTATGTAACATGTTTTCAAGCCAATCATTTTGTAGAACCATTCTTTATATCCCTCACTGAATATTCCAGATTGATCAATGAAGTCATTGACTGTATGGAAATTGGGGATGACCAAGAATAGAAGTGCGACTATACAAACCCAAATGAGTGGAATTGTTGCCGTGTTAAATCCTTTTTTGGATAACAAAGAAACTAATGTTGTTATGAACAAGAGCAAATGCAAGATATCCCATGTCTGTTCCGTCTCACTTGAATATACAGCTGGATATGCAGCAATAACAATTGAACATATAATCGCAATATGTGGAAGGTATATAGCCAAGAACCTCATAAACAAATTTGACAACCTTCGAAGCTTTCCAGGAACTTTCACTTCGATGATGTGGTAATCAACATCATCTGCTTTTGGTGTTACAACTTGGACATTTATTTCAACTTTTTTCTCTTCATGTTTTGCGTCAAGTTGCTCACCTTCTGCCATCGATCGGTCCAGTCGAATACGTCTTCTTTCAATTCTCTTTTCTTGTAAATATTGTGGCACAGTGATTAACAATTGACTCTCAATCGCACAAATTGTAATAACAATGATATTAGGAAGGAACCCTAATATTCTTTCCCCAATTGTTGTGTACTTAATAAACCCAAGTTCACTTCTATTCATCTTTGTAAAAATGTCCCAGAAGTCATTAACAGTATTTTCTTGAGAGTCTTCGGAAGATGTATCTTCGTAATCTGCAAGTTGAGCCAAATACCGAACTACAAGAACTACAAAGAAAATCACTGCAAAAACAGGAAGGACAAATCGGATGATCTTTTTATACTTTTTGAAATGGGTTTGAATCACTACTAATATGAAGAGAGCTAAGATGTATAACAATAACTCAATATTGATGTTCTCAAGAAAAGCAGCCATTGCTATGAACACACAACAGAAGAAGATGCCCCAGAAGTCGACAATTTTAGCACAACAGTATTTCACTATATCAACCACTGTTTCATTATGCTCGATCCGCGACTCAAATCCATTTGCAAGTAATTGCACCACTGAAACACCAAGTAAGAATATCCGAGAGAACAACCCAACGATAACAGTGTCTTCAAATTTGTAGACATCACTATTTGTTTCTATATTGTACTTAACTAACCCAATAAAGTCTGGGACGTTTGAGATATCAATCAAATCCAATTGGACAATGAGTAATGTCACGATCTCTGCTAATGTGAATACAATCAGAACTGGCCATAATTTCATGACCCATCGAGATGGTAAGAATAAGTAGATAACAGATAATACCATGAAAGAGAACCCAAGCACTGAAATGTCGATCAACCCAACACAAAACATGATAGCTAAAGTGATATAAAGTGCACAGTTGATCACAACTTCTAAAAGTGTTTTGAGTGTCACTTTAGTCCAATAAAGCACTTTAGTTAAGAACTTTAAGCATATGGCGACAATGTAAATTGAAGTGAAAGTGGACTCTTTTTGAGTACTGGGAAGCACATCATCCACTATTTGATACCCTTCTGGCACGTCATCTTGAGCATTGAACACTTGCACTTGACTGATTCCCCAACACGCAAATGCAAAGAACAATTGCGACAAATATGTCATTGTTGTGTAGACACGACTGTTTAATGGTGTTTTGGTGAAGCCCAAAGTCGACATGATTTCATCGACCAACGACAAGTCCTTAACACCAAAGAGATCAAATTTGTATGCAACCCACGCGTATAATGAATAGAAAGTCCACAGTATTATGTAGAGAAAAGTAGTGAACGCGATGGGTATAGAAAAGTACGTAAAATATCTCTGTGGAATGCAGAACATAGCGACAGAGCAGAGTAAGAACAATATTGGAGCAGCGCCGGTATGTGATGCGTTCAGCAAAAATGACAATACAAAGAAGAGAAATGACGTGAGATACTTCATCGCTTTCTTTGATTTATTATTGGACGGATAGTATCGTGACAAAGCCACTGGTATTGATATGATAAAAACAGCAGAAATAGTGCATGTGGACATCACAAACCGAGTGTATCCCAAGTCTCCCATTTTATTGAAGTCGAGACCACAAAGCGCTAAAGCCCAGTGTGAGTTAAGATTCAAATAGTAACATGTTATAACAGTTATTAAATGGGCCATTGTGAATGGGAACATCAGAAAAGAGAACATTCGAGTCAAAGGTGTTTTTGATATGAAATAAGAGACTGAGAGTAACACGCTTAAAAAGACGTAAATTGCCGAAATAATGCCTGGTATCGCGACAAATGGTGTTGGCAAAATTATCATGAAAAGGGTCACTGAAATGTTTCTAATAAACGGAATCTTGTTCCACCAATTTACTGGTGTTTGGACGAATGATGCAAACCCCATTTATTGTCTAATCTTTTTCAGTTCGTTCATTATGTGATGTTTTTACTAAAAATTGGTCGAAAAGTATTCGACAATATCAAAAAAGTCTTTTGAGGATTTGAAACACTCCAACCGCTATAAGTAATTTATAGTATCGAATTTAGATATTTACTTAACCATATCTTTATAAAAATAAAACTAGATGTTTCCAAATGTATTACAGTGTTGTTTAAAGAAAAAAGTGGTAATAAAATAAATCAATTTAATTTGATTTTTTAATTGTTTGGTTAACATTTTGCGACGTGTGATTAGACTCTGGTTTTGGTAAATCTCGACACAACAATATGTATTTTTATATGGTTTATTTTAATAATAAAAATATAATAAAAATTATCAAAAGAAAAATTTCACTTTTTTAATAAAAAGAACTATTAAATACAATGAACATTGGAGCACCATTGAAACTCTTCCATGAGTTAAAGGGACA